GCTTTGTGCAGAGCACCAGCTGCAGAACATTGTCCACGCACCAACTAGAGCGCCGTCAAACACGTGTCTTGACCTGGCTCTGTTGAACACTACCTTTCCATTGCCCAATCCAACGATCATTCCCATGTCAGATCTTACTGATCACCACCTAGTCCGCCTTGATATTGTAATACCGGAATGGAAGCCCCCAGAAACCCAGAGAACTAAGGTTGTGAGAAAACCAGGAATAGCTACTATCAACTACTCTCAGTTTAATGCTGACCTGAATAATATGCTCGAGGACTCATCCTCATTTTCAACATTGGACAGTCAAACTTGCCATCTTCTAACGTCTATTGCTGCTGTTACTGATACGCATGCTCCATCTAAACAAGTTAGACTACCCCTCTGTCCCAAACCTAAGCCTCAACCGTGGGCAACACCAGAGTTACGGAAACTGCTGCAGCGCAGAACTACTCTGCATCGTAGAGTCCTTTCGCAGCCTGGGAATATGGTTCTTAAGCAACAGTATCGTTCTGTCAGACGTGAGGGGACGCTTCTGAGTAGGAGACTGAAATCCCGTTTCCTGATGCACCAGTTCTCGGCACTCCGACGAAATCCTAGAGGTCAGTGGGCTCTTCTTAACAGTCTGTCCGGCAGGCGGAAAGTAAGAAATCAGCCAATTGCATCTCTCAGTAGTCTGACAGAGACATTTGCTAACATAGTGCACGATCCAAGCCGGCCTGCTGACATATGTTTACGCCCAGCCACCCAACAGCCAACTACTGCTGCTCGACTGTCCCATTTTCGACCCGTAACTGTGGCGCACATCACCACACTGCTCAAAGCAACAAACACAAGTAAGTCACCTGGCTCTGACAACGTCTTACCAGCCGTACTGAAGCATGGTCGTGATTCCATAGCAGTTTCTCTCACTGATATTATCAATAAATCTCTGAGCACAGGGTGCGTACCAGATATTTTCAAGAATGCCACAGTCAGCCCAGTTTTCAAATCAGGCGATGCAGAAAGCTCTACTAATTACAGACCAGTCTCATTATTGCCCATATGCAGCAAGATATTAGAACGAGTTGTCTTGGAGCAGCTGATTGCATTCTTTAAGTTACACAACATCATGTACGTGCCTGACAATCAATTTGCCTACCGTACCAACAGCTCGTGTGAGGACTGCCTAGCGCTAGTGGTCGACGAATGGCTCCAAGCCCTTGATAACAACGAGTACTGCGGCATAGTGTTTGCAGATATGAGCAAAGCTTTTGACCGAGTTAAGCATCAAGAGCTCATTGACGAGTTGAAGATGCTTGGCATTGCTGACACTGCACTTGCTTGGTTTGCAAGCTACCTGACCAGACGCGTCCAGCGAGTAAGAGTAGGACAACAGCTAAGTGGGGCCCGCCCTTGCACAAGAGGCGTCCCACAAGGCTCCGTGCTCGGCCCATTGCTATTTTGCATTTACACCCGTGACGCGCCACAGTGCTTCCAACATGCATTAAATCAACTTTATGCCGATGATATCACACTCTATATCAGGCACAAGTCCATCCAGATCATCACAACCCAGCTGAGTGCTGACCTTGCCGCTCTGGACCGCTACCTAGATCAGAAGGGATTGGTGTTAAACCCGTCCAAGACTCAGTTTGTCCTGCTCAGGCGACCGAGCACGGAGCTGCCACCTGGCACCGCAGTCAACTGCCGGGGCACTTCCATAGTCCCATCTGCTTACGCTCGGTACTTAGGAATACTGGTTGACGAACATCTGTCTTTCTCAACCCAAGTGGATGCAGTATGTGCAAATGTCAATAGGAAGGTTGGAGCATTTGTCCACGCAAAGCAGAATATCAGCATTTTTGGCAAACGACTTTTCTATTTATCGATCATTCAGTCCACATTTGAGTTTGGCAGCACTGCATATATTCATTGCTTTTCACAAGCCCTATATGACAAGCTTCTTACTGCCAGCCGCGTAGCATTAAAGATAATATTTTCGTTGGATAGAATGACTCCCACCACTCTTCTATACAGTCATACTAACTTGTACGCCCTTGAGAAACGCCTCAACTTCAAAACCTATGTATTTGTTTACCGCTGTCTGAATGGACTTGCTAGTCCTCTTCTGCGAGACCGCTTTACCTTGCGCGCCCATGGTGCTCGCACTGCAGCCACCACCCGTGGCCAAGTCTCTGCTGCTCTTGTTCTGCCCCCCGCTAACACCCGATATGGCTTTAGTGCAATTTCTTATTTGGGCGCTGCCAGGTGGAATCCACTTCCACCGGCTTGCCGCATGTCTAGTTCACCAGCTGAATTTCGCTCATCCATCAAATTATACCTAGGGTTCCCTGTAAAAAGGCGCTGACGCCTGTTGGGAATTCCCTAGTAAAAGAAGAATAAATAATAATATAAAATAATAATTGCTTCCTTCACCGTCCGTCCCATCATCTGCTTCCTCTGCGCTCTCTCTGTTATCCCGCCTGACATGGTCCATTGAACGGGACTCGGCCGTCACCCTGCTCTCACATCCCTCCTTACGCCCTTGTCCGTTGAATGCGTAGTTTCTGTTGTAGTTGGCTGTTGATGGTCTTGGTGTTTCAATAATGGGCTTGGATGGTGGATTAGTTGTGGTTGCTGTAGATTGCATTGTTGGTGATGGTGTGGGAGCTTCTAATACGCAAGGTGAGTCTTTTTTGGTTGGCAATTGTTGTGTCAATGCCCCTGCCGGTGTTGCTTGCGGTCTGTCACTGGCAAGCTCCACCGCCGCAAGAGCCGACGGCGGAGGATCAGGAGGAGGCAGTGGGACCGGGACCGCAAGCGGCACCACCCCAGCCAAAGCCTCAGATAGATATTCTGAATCTAATGCTGAAAGCACGTTTTCATTACCGTAGTGTCGCCCTTAATGTAGGTTTTCTTAGACGATGTTTAGACAATGGCGTATGTCCTAGCGGTGTAGAAAAGCGTGTTCACAGAGCCAAGGCATACCACACGTTGAAGGATGAGATTGCCAGGTCCGGTGACACGGTGTGCAAGTCTCGTTCCCAGTTTAGGTCTTTGTATGATCGTGCACGTACATTTTTGTCATCTCATGACTTCCTCCGTTTCTCAATGCTCCTTTCTGAGAACGACCAGAAACGACGAATAAAACTTATTACCAAACATGACAAGACATATAACGGGCTCAGAAGGAAACGTTACGGCCAAATTAACATCGATCCCGAAACAACAATAATCAACTTAACCCCATTGGAATTGACTACTGTACAGAAGCAGCTCCTTTGCCGTGGCACTGATTTTGGCGTTCCCCCATCATCAAATAAAAAGGAAGTTATCATGACCGAGCTCGAATTGTTTTATCGAAAGTTATTACGCTTTACGCCAATATCAGAGGCCCCACAATCAATATGCGCTGCAAAGATCCGAGCTGAGGCTGAGGAGCATGCGGACAAACTTCCAGACAAGCGATCGTGTTCCTTAGGCCAGGAACACATGAAAGCCCTGCGTGACTTCCGCAAAAACACTGAAATTATCGTCACGCGCCCGGACAAAGGGCGGGCTACAGTTCTGATGCTCAGAACTGATTACATAGACAAGATGTCTGTCATCCTAAATGACACATCAAAGTTCCAGACCATTGGCCTGGTTGAAAGTTTTGATCGAACAGAGAAAGTAGAAAAAGAACTAGTAGCTTACCTAAAGAAACTGAAAGCCGACGGAGAAATATTCTCCAATGATTTCGATCGCATAAAACCGACAGGCACGCTCCGGCCTAGGCTATATGGCTTACCAAAAATACACAAGCCCACATGTCCAGTACGTCCCATCCTTTCTATGACGGCCTCGCCTCAGTATTTGATTTCCAAGTGGCTGTGTATTTACTTACAACCAGTGCAGGACCACTATTGCAAGCGCACTGTAAAAGACAGTTTTGATTTCGTCGAAAAGCTCCGCAACAAGCCTGTACCACCCAACGCACACATGTGTTCGTTTGACGTCGTCAGTTTATTTACTAATGTGCCGATTGAAGAAACTGTTGACATCTTCATGGATGTTTTGTATCGTAATGATGACGTTGACACTCCTTGGATATCTGAAAGTGCGTTTAGACGGTTGTTGTTGCTGGTCACAACTGGAGTTGAGTTTTCGTTCAACAATGTCATGTACAAACAAGTCGATGGTGTCGCGATGGGTTTGCCCCTTGGTCCAGTATTGGCAAATGTGTTTGTCGGTGACTGTGAGTCGAAGATTGATGATTCATTGTGGCCTGACCTTTATGTACGTTTTGTGGACGACTCATTCACATATTTTGATAATGAGGAGCGTAGTAACGAGTTTCTGGACGTGTTAAAATGGTATTCATCCTGCCCTTCGTTTCACATGTGAGCATGAACAGTCATTTCTAGATGTGCTGGTGGAAAAAACGAGTAGTGACGTTCTGACAACCGTTTATCGTAAGCCGACGTTTACTGGTCAGTACATTGTATATGACTCTTATTGTTCGTCTCAATATAAAGTAAACTTAGTGCGTAACCTTGTGGACCGTGCGAAGCGTATTTGTTCGTCCTGTACGCTGCAGGAAGAGCTTGACTTTCTCCGGTCAGTTTTCGTTAAGAACGGGTACCCTGAGTTTTTGTTGCAGAAGTTGTTGAAAGTCGAACAAACTACTAAGGTTCCTTTGTTTGGTCCTGCTCGTTGTCCCGTCTATTTATGTTTGCCTTGGAAAGGTCAGGAGTCGACTAAAGTTTGTAGTGCAGTCAAGTCCGTTGTTCGTCGAACATACTATGCAATACACTTTGTGCCAGTTTTTACGACGATGCGTGCGTTTACGGTGCGGAAGGATGTCCTACCAGCCCTTCACCTTAGTCATCTTATTTACAACTTTGAATGCCGACAATGCGCTAGTCGGTATGTTGGTAGGACTGTTCAGCACCTGAACGCACGCATCAAACAACACACACCACGTCACATACTTCCACCTTGCGCACAACAACAAAGACCGAAGCGAGGGCGACCTAGAAAACAACGTTACCTACACAACTTGCGGATCCTGGCTCACAGACTGTGCTTGCTCCGCCGTCGCTGGTGGCGGTGGTGGGGGAGGGTGGGCGTGGTGGCTCATCGGGCCGGTTTGTGTCGCCACCTTTGCTCCTGCCGTCGGTGGTTCCTTCGTCAGTGCCCCCGGCGGCTTTGGCTGGGGTGGTGCCGCTTGCGGTCCCAGTCCCACTGCCTCCTCCTGATCCTCCGCCGTCGGCTCTTGCGGCGTAGGAGCTTGCCAGTGACAGATCGCAAGCAACACCGGCAGGGGCATTGACACTACAATTGCCAACCAACAAAGACTCACCTTGCATATTAGCAGCTCCCACACCATCACCAACAATGCAATCTACAGCAACCACAACTAATCCACCATCCAAGCCCATTATTAAAAGACCAAGACGATCAACAGCCAACTACAACAGAAACTACGCCCTCAACGGACAAGGGCGTAAAGAGGGACGTGAGAGCAGGGTGACGGCCGAGTCACGTTCCATGGACCATGTCAGGCGGGATAACAGAGAGAGCGCAGAGGAAGCAGATGATGGGACGGACGGTGAAGGGGGCAATGAGTCGGAGAGCGACGATTGTTGTGATCGTGAGAGTGCCGGTGAGAATGTTAGCGTTGTGCGTAGGTTTCGTGGTAGCAAGTCTTCAGTGTACAATCATCTGTTGGCTAGTCCTGATTGTTGCAATTCGTATTCCGACTCTTCATTCACTGTATTGTGGCGTGGTCGTCATGGTTATGGACTACAGTTAAAGGTTTTGGAAGCCATCTGTCAGCGTCTGTATAAGCCTTATTTGTGTGTACAGAAAGATAGTATAATTGGGTTGAAATTGTTCAAGTAAAGTGTCATGTTTGGTGCGGCCAAGCTTGGCCGTTAAGGTTCTAGGTGTAATGTACTGCTGTTATTTGTTATCACTTTGTCCTTCCTTCTTTCTTTCTCTTCTTTGTTCACTTTTCAGTTGCAAGTTTAGTGTTAGTACACACATTCGTTATTGCTCTCGCTTTCATTGTTAAAATTCACACTTGTAAATGTCACTGCTGTTGTTCTTAGTGTTATTTCTCTAACTTAGATTTTCTATAATAGTTCAATTTTGTTTTCAGTGTCCTTTAGTGCAATGAAGATTCCTGATGAGTGTTGTACGAAAACTTGTTTGAATCCCTTTCTTTCTCTACACAATTTCGTCACATTTTTCATCGTTTTATTGCACATTGTCTCCACAGTTTTACAATACATGAATACAGTGTACACAAATGTCGATCCAGCTTGTATTATTGATTGCGGTTATCAAATTATTATTATTATTATTATTATTATGGGGGTGGCTTTATTGGTTTTGTGTTTGTATTATGCAGCATCCCAGGTCATTTAAGACCATGGGGAGTACTGCTGTTGTATTTGAAGAAAATATAATAAGGGAGACTGAGAAAAAAGAAAGAAAAAAGAGAGAAATACTGTGAACAGCAAATCTACAATGATGGATGTTCAATCTATTATAGAACTTATCTGCGAGAATGAGACTTAACACAAGCAGGTACAGTAATAGCAAGATAGCTAAATCAGAAAACAAAATCCGTTGAAAAGTAACCGTCATCAAATCTGAAATCGAGCCCTTCAGCGACACAATAGCACTGAAGGCAGCAATATAATTCTTCTCATTCAACATCAGTGAAGCACCGTCAAAACCGGTGAATGGGGGCTACAACTAATAGTTCGAACCATGGGCATTCGCAAACCAATGTAACTTATTAGAGTGTAATTATTATTTCATCTGAGTTATTGACCTGATGATTTCAACTGTGCCAAGGAGCGCCTCCTTTTGCAAGATCGATACACTGGCTCCGGCATCCAGTTCCCTCACAAAGTCAGCAGTCGAGGGGGTTAATCCGCCTAATGCCCCCACAATTACTGGCACGATCTTGGCCCGCACCTGCCACATCTGCTCCACCTCACGCTTCAGGCCTTGATATTTCTGTATCTTTTCCACAGATTTTTGGCGGATGTTCCTATCCAGAGGGACACTTACGTCCACAAGGAACGCTTCATCTTTGCCCTTGATAATAATGTCGGGTCTGTTTGCTCCAACGGGCGCTGCTGTTGGAATTGGCACTTCCCAGTAGATTGACACATCCGTTTCAGCACTGTACACGACGTTGGTGAGTTGGTGACTTGTGTACTTATTCGAAATGTCCGATGCACCATACTTCCTGCACAATGTCCAGTGGAGATATTTTGCTAACCTGTTGTGGCGACTGATATAGTGACTTCCCGCACAAGCTGTACACGCTCCAATAAGTTGGAAAACCGTTTCCTTGTCCCTGCCACACATCCTGCAACACGTTTTCGTTGACACACCTGTTCCTCGATTAAATATCTCTTATTATTATTATTATTTTAATATAGCTATGAATAGGATGAAGGCCGCATCATCACGCAACTACGTTACTTGTTTGACATGTATTACTGTGTATTTTATAACAAAAATATTATTGAAAACCCAGAATCGATTTTCTGGTTCCTATCATCAGTGGGAAAAAACGGAACTAAGGATACAACCAAAGAAACTGAAGTTAAGTACTGTAAATAGAAAGGCGTTAGAAATAACATCAAGATACAAGTGCAATAAAACCACTAGAGGAAACGCAAGAAAGGTAACAAGATTACATAACCAAAGGCGAGAAGGCACTGAACGAAGTGTCAACCTACGAATACAACTTCAGTGCAACAATGTGCTCTTTCTGCTTACACAAAACAGGCTTATGAATACGTATACAAACTGCCTCTAGGACTTTCAACTGTTGGACATAACGCGCACGACACAGTACAGAAAAATGAGAGTCATCATACACACCAAGACAGTCAGGACGAGACAACAAGTGTAGATACACAGCTGACTTCTTACGATCAACACATTCATCCGCCTCATCTCGCTCCTTCCCACCCGACTCCTCCTCGTCCATCTCCTCGTCCTCTTCCTCGTTCCGCTCGTCATCCTCACGATCATCATCACCACCATCATCTGCCTCGTCCTCGGTCTCCTCACCAACCGTTTCGTCATCCAATTCCTCTTCCATCCTCTGATCATTCGTCCCATCCTCCGTTTCAGTACAGACCACTTGTCTCCCGTTTGCTAGCTGCTCGTCCCGTGAGCGGAGTTGTTCCTCCAGATCCGCTATACGTATTCATAAGCCTGTTTTGTGTAAGCAGAAAGAGCACATTGTTGCACTGAAGTTGTATTCGTAGGTTGACACTTCGTTCAATGCCTTCTCGCCTTTGGTTATGTAATCTTGTTACCTTTCTTGCGTTTCCTCTAGTGGTTTTATTGCACTTGTATCTTGATAAGAAAGGGTTTGCTCCCCACACCGGAGCTCGCGCTATTCCGCCGACTTTACTTGACACTTGACTGACTCACGACTGCCATCCAGAGCACACGAGAAGTCCATCGAACCTTAGACTCGGCAAACCTGCAAGAAAGCACCACTACCTGCTCAATACACAGGGTTTCGGGGAATTCACCCCTCATCAGTTGAGCTTGAGTAGGCTGAGGAAGATTGTGCCTGAAGAGCACCACTTATATAGTGCTCAGCCTACTCAAGCTCAACTGATGAGGGGTGAATTCCCCGAAACACTGTGTATTGAGCAGGGAGTGGTGCTTTCTTGCAGGTTTGCCGAGTCGAAGGTTCGATGGACTTCTCGTGTGCTCTGGATGGCAGTCGTGAGTCAGTCAAGTGTCAAGTAAAGTCGGCGGAATAGCGCGAGCTCCGGTGTGGGGAGCAAACCCTTTCTTACAAATTATCGCCGAAGTCGCAACCACTACTTTGTATCTTGATGTTATTTCTAACACCTTTCTATTTACAGTACTTCAGTTTCTTTGGTTGTATCCTTAGTTCCGTTTTTCCCACTGATGATAGGAACGAGATAATCGATTCTGGGTTTTCAATAATATGTTTTTTATAAAATACACAGTAATACATGTCAAACAAGTAACGTAGTTGCGTGATGTCTGCGGCCTTCATCCTATTCATAGCTATATTAAAATTATTATCTCCACGTAGGTTATTATTATTATTATTTAAATAGGCGTCGAGGTGACAATAGTTTTAGAATTACGATCAACAGAACGAGCTGAACCGACATTTCACAAAGGCTTTTATTGTATTCAAAAAACGAGTGGATACGAAGGCAGTGAAACACATGGAAGAAAGAAAAAATGCGATATGGAGAAAATGATGAACAAAAAAACGTACTTCGAACTAGTTTTCGCACAACACTCCTATGAAAATGAGAATCCTAGCACTAAGGTAATAACAGTGTGTCCAGAAGGACAGCATTATTCGTTTGAAATTGTTCTAGTAGCAGCTTGTTCTGTCTGTTTGGCCCTGGTTGGCCATGGTGTCATATCTTGTGTCACAGTATAATAGTAGTCTTTACAAGTTCGTTACGTGCTTTCGCAGTTTTTCCTGTTATTACCTTAGTGCTAGGATTATCATTTTCATAGGTGTTGTTTCTTCTCACTCCATTTCTCTTTATTAGTATCTTTCTGGATTGTTTTTCATTAGTACAACGTAGCTTCCTGAGGAGTGTTGTGCGAAAACTAGTTCGAAGTACGATTTTTTGTTCATCATTTTCTCCATATCACATTTTTTCTTTCTTCCATGTTTTTCACTGCCTTCGTATCCACTCGTTTTTTGAATACAATAAAAGCCTTTGTGAAATGTCCGTTCAGCTCGTTCTGTTGATCGCAATTCTAAAATGATTATTATTATTATTATCTCTTTCCCTCAAACCAGTTAATATTATTATTATTATTATTTTAACTGGTTTTGAGGGAAAGAGACATTATTATTATTATTATTCTCAATTCATGGATGACATGGTGTCAACCAATATTATGAATGAGGGCTACCAGCCATGGAATAAAAGAGCAAGAAGGCAAAAATGCACACGCAAAATATGGCAAGTTAAATGAAAATGAAAATGAAATAAAAGTAAATCAATCCAAATCCAAAATCAATTATAAAGATCAATCCAAAACCAGAATGAATTGTACAGGTAGCATATGTGATTTACTTTGGACCTTGAAGTAATACACAAAGAGAATTGAATTCAATGATTAGTAAATGAAGATCGACGTACGTGTATATTTATCAAGCTTAAAAACGCATTGAGGGTGTTGCTGGACTTTAATTGCTGAGGAAGAGAATCCCATGATTTACGGACCAGCTACGTTATCAGAGCCCTATCTACGTACTCTACGTAGACAACTTTCCGTTAGTGGAGTGCAAACTCGCGAATTCACCGGTTTTCCCGGCCCGCTAACGTAAAGTTGCTCAAGTTTACGTAGTGCGGAACCTCTCTATTTACTGCAACTTCGCGTCCAA